TGCAGGTTCAGGTATCACAGGACGACTGGTGCTCTCTACTTCAGGTTCACTGGTGGGAGGTTCTTTTATAGGGGGCGAAGCAGGTACTGAAGACTGAGGAACAGCTTTTGGTTCTTCTTGCGTCTCTGGTGCAGCTGCAAGAAGACTACTGAAAGATGAGGCGAAAGCTGAGCTGGCTGAGCTAGACTGTGGAACGGAGAAGGTTGGCTTGGGGTTTGATTCAGGAGGCTTAAACAGACTGCCTGACGGGGTCCCTTCGGACAAGTCTGGTGCTGAAGAATCTTCTCCAGATTTTGGAAGACCTGTTCCAAAACTAAACTGTGTCGCTCCCTTGCCCTTGCCAAGTCCAGTGTCCGCAAATGTAAATCCTGCCACAGCAGGTTTGGTGGAGGAATCTTTAGCTTCTTCTCCTTGGCCCACCCTTAGTCCAGAAAAAATGCCCAGAGTCTCGCCACCAGCTGTCTTTGGAGGCTGTGGCTCTATCCTCAGAGTGGCTGTGGACGAGGTGGGTTTAGCACCTTCAACTGTTGCGTTTGGAGCCAAAGTGGGAGACCCAGTGCCAAGACCAGGGGAGGTGGACTTTGAGGTAAAGGAGAATGACTCTTCTCCAGCCTGGCCAAACACCATCTTACCATTTCCACCAAAAGAGAATTTCCTTGCATCTTTCACTGGAGAAACATGAGAAAGAAAAACAGAAATAATGTGCATCAGTAATCTCACAGCTCCTACATCTATCCTAACAAGCTGCTATATCATTTGTACCTTGTGGCATTCCAGCTCCTGGTGTAACTGAAGCAAAACTGAAGCTTGAGGACCTGAAAAAAAAAAAAAAAAAACACCATTTAAGTTTAAATGCAGCAACAGTGAGATGCTCATTATATTTTGTAACAAGACATATTTACGCGTGAAAAATGCTGGATTAACCAGCCAATCTCAGCAATACAGCCATGTAAACACTTGCTCACCCACACCTACAGTTTCTTCTCCTATTAGGCTAGATTTGGATTACATTAGAGAACTCTTTCAGTACACAACTTATGATTTTGCTCCAGGAGCTATTACCACCCAGTCAAGCATAGTTGTAAGCTGATGGAAAGCTTTAGTAAGCGGGCCCAAATCCTTTGTGAGAGGATGCATTTCATATACACCCCCGAGTGCAGGTTACAAAATAATTTGGCCTTTAGATGAATGTGTTTTAAAACATTTTCTATTACAGTGTGTTTTTATGACAAAAATAATCACAAACATAGTCTATAAAATACTGCTGGGCCATTAAAAATACATTATATTTATAAACATCAACTCACACTGAATTGAAAGAAAAACCCTTGCTGCTGGTTTGCTCAGCTGAGCTAGGAGTAGCAACAGAAGCATCAGTTTTGGACGGCTGACCTGAAAGAAAAAATTTATAGTCAATGTCAAGATTCTACAGTGTGCGTGTGCGTGTGTGTGTAACAGTGCTTACCAAAAACAAAACTGCTCTGTGGGATGGTTGTAGTCTCTGCAGGCATTTTTTGGACACCCTGGACAGGATTCTGCCGAGACAGTTTTAAATACATGTATGAAATTAATATTACAGCTTAACTGTTAACCTTACAGAAAAACAACACTACTATGATGCATTCATGATTTAAAAAATATAACACACAGGATTGTTTCAGGTGAAAGCTCAAGTCCACTAAGACATAAACTTAAGGCAGATATAGAGAAAAAAACAAAACAAATGTCTATAGGTAATCGTGCAGCACATGAACTTGGAGCTACACAAGAACAGGATTTCTGCGAGGAGTACCCCTGTCACCCAACTGTAATTTGTAACATCAACATGGGTGGGAGGTGGGACATTTCTCACCCATCTTGATAATGGTCTTCACAGGAAAAACTGTCAGCAAACTGTGAATTCTCACATGCTGAATGTTCTTGAAAGTTGTGAGAAGACTAACATAAAGCTATGAATATACCTAGAGCTGGGCGATATGAGATTTTTTCATATCACGATATGTTTTTT